CTCCAGCCTTCGACATTGCTTTCTATGGAAAAAATCCTTTCCATTTGTGGTTTTTTGCCGAGGAGGTGATGCGGACACAAAAGATTCCTAGCTCCATCCACATCACATACTTCCACCCACTGAAAAGGTGACACTCTCTAAGAGGAAAATCCACCCTATTATTCTCCCCCTTCCTGTCTTGTGGTTGGCTAGTCACAATTCGCAGGACGGCCTCCACGTCAAAAGCTAAAAGTAACCACGTGGACGGTGATCGAAGGGAGGGCGCAACCATGTAACAAGAGAACATGGGTTTTCGCTGTATATTTATTGGTGCGGGCTCCCATATCTCTACGGTTTGATCGCCATCCTGCTATCATGCCTTTTCCATCTACAGCCATCGTGCAGCCGCATAGCTCTTCTCTACGCTAATAACAAACCCCTTAGTTCTCAATTTGTCCAGAAAGTGAGGGAACAATCAGGCCTGCATTTTCCAGTCCCATTACGATTGATAAACAACAGAAGTACAAGAAACATGCAGGTTTACTTAAGTTCTTGAATGATCACGTTATCAGTTAATGTACAATTTACCATCTACAGTGTGACAGTAAACAAGGCATTGCCACATGTATTCACGTTAACAAAAAATTTCTTGACTTCAAGTAAGGTTTACGTGAGCTGTAAAATATTTGATCATTAGCAAAGATAGCAGTAACATTTGACGTTATAAATCTGAATGATAAAACTTGAAACCCACTTAAATGACAAACTGACAACTATTCGACATGAATTCACCAGATGAAGACTGAGCCAGGTAGCTAGATGAGGTGGGCCAAAGCAAAAGGCTAGCTCACTTGTTAAAGCCAATGAAGTCTTCATGGTTCGTATTCACATAGGCAAGTTGGTAGTCCGTGAGAGCACGCAGCTGGTCCTTGGTTCTCACCTCTGACTCCCGAATTCGTTGGTTGATAGTTCTCTCGACTTCATCAGCGAGAAGCGGATAGCTGTTCATCTGTCAACGGTAAGTGCAGACATTAACATCAACAAGTGCAGAAATACCGACACCTCAGAAGCTGTCCACCAAAATTGCACGAAACTGAATAGGATCAATCTCTAATGATTCCCTAACACCTGCATAATGGATGATTTCCACTAACTAGGGATAGCCAACTGCTTCAACGACGAAGCTAGGAGTACAATTCCTCAGATTTAAGCAAAAATAACTCAATGAAAACACTGAAACAGGATGTAGTGATTAACTCATCCATTCGAAAGCCCGATGCAGCACCTAGAGAGAAGCATTTGTTCAAACAAGATGGTGGAACTACCCAGTTTTACTGGCGAGGGTGTGGGGGACGAGCGAGGAGTGAGGAGGAGGGGACACTTTATCGCCTACCTGGCCAAGGCAGGTGTGCACAATAGCAGAGAGCTTGGTGACTACTCGGTCAACGCAGGATAGCGAGGGTGCCAACAGGCGACCAATGCGCTCGCGCACAATCACATCAAAGGCCTGATCCGGTGTGAAGAGGCCACCGCTACAAAAGCAATACAAAAGCTTCGTTAAGCAACACAAAACGAATTAACAGTCACCTCCAAATCGACCGGGACCAAGTCGAATGCAGTAGAAAATGCGCCATATACTAGCACAAGACTGACCGTATTTTGGATCCTCAGACTCAAGTGAAATCTTTTTTAGGAGTAATCACGAATAAAAAAATATTGCTGTCATGACAACCAATGGCCTTATTTCATAAAAATAAATTGCCTTCTCAATGAAAATGCGTCACTCCATTAAGTATGCCGGAAAGAGATCAAGATCCACCTCTATCCCCTCCCCTACCCCACGAAGGCGACTTCACTAACCAAAGGCAGTGTACTAAGGTAGAACGCAGGGGAACGACTGAAATTACAAGAAAATTGTACTAAAAATGTTAAATACAGAATAGAAAATGTAAATGGCAAATGATAAAGTGCAACTTGGATCTCCCTCACATTGGTAGCTCCCATCACACGTCAATGAAGTGCACGGCACTGGAGTGTCCTGGCAACGCGGTTAAACCACTTCAGGTCACTATTTAGAGCACAAGACCACACGCCACTTAGGCATTTGCTCAACCATGACAGCGACTTGACTCACCCATTCATTGGGTTTCAAACAAGAACTACACCTTACCTTACACCTCGGTAAGTCACACGCATAACCAACTTGGTGAGACCTTGCAAACACATGTAAACATTACGTGCTGATTGTGAAGAAATTGTCACACAAGTTCTGTAATGCATGTGAATAAGCAAATCAAGAACTTGCAGAGTTACATACACCTGCCAACATGCATTTCACACAAGAGACAGACTTTTTAACTCACCGAATACCCTGGACATTGCGAATGGCGTAGGCAATTTCCCGACGAAGGGCCTTTTCGTCAATTTGTATCTGAAGAAAATAAGTTACACCAAATGCCGTTAGGTGGGATGGGGGAGGAGAAAACACCTACTTCTTTAGAGCGACAAGGGCACTGCAACAACATCAACAGCGACAACTGAACTGGTATTGCAGGGTTACTGACACGGAGTAGCATGGGATTAGGACAAAAGTGCAGTACAGAGGCGCAAGTTTGACAATGATTTCGCAGTATTCCTTAGATGACAATCACAATGAAGCCTTAAGTCGCCAACTTTACTCCAAACAACGACTGATGGCAAGCACAGGCGTTACTTTATGTCAGGATAGAAAAAGGCCCACTCGTGCATCTAGGCCAAGACCAAGGATCCACCCAAAAAACTGCGACAGTTGTAGTGAAAAAAGGAACGAGATCAAATAGACGGACAACTTTCGCGCTAAGCACGAGAGCTCAAAGTCTAATTGCCACACTGTAAAAACGTAATCATGTGACAGACGTGCATGTGCACACGCACACACGAAATATGCGTACGTGGAAAAAAAACAACAATCCTGTAGCCTTTCCTTATTTGCATGTTTAAGTGACACTCCGTGGAAGTGCTCAAATGATCGATGCGGAAGTAGGAGATGGAGAGACAGAGATCATACCAATGAAAAAGGGGGGCCCCAAACACAAAACTCTAAAACAGTGAACAACTAACCAACCGTAGGCTCCAACTGAAGCGTAGACTTCACACTCTAAAAAAGGTCCCCAGTGGTATTAGAGGTAATTGCTAAACTGACAACAATGCAATACACGCTAGGACGTCTTTGGTCCCTTCTTGCACCCTTTTGGCATGATAAAATCCTCCATTGGGAAAAAGGCAGCATAAAATGGGGTAGTTGTACCACGAGCACCAATGTTAGTTAGGTATTGAAAAGGAGCCCCCCTCCTCCCTACCCATTACATTACAATCTCATGCTTTGAGTATGGTCATAGGTTTGATTCAAATTCAAAAGACCCTTTAAAGGTACGCAAAGTTGTTAAATGAAGAGACTAGGTCATCTCCTTGAAATGGAGCGAAATATACCTTCACTAGCGACTGTAACAACGAACCGCCGCGGCATTTGTGGAACAACGGTATGATCAAACTTGCCAGTCACTTTCAACAGACCGTGAATGGGAACACCGCAATAACCTTATCAACCACAGCCTAACGAGTAAGACCAATGTGCATCATACAACACCAGCCCTCACAGCGTATTTACATATGGAGGAGGTGGTAGGGCTCTCGAAGTAATTGTGCTCGTGGTTTACTGCTGCAACTAGTCAATGTGCTATTTAGGGTCATGAAGAGCGTCCCTTAGGAGGAACACTGGGAACAGTGGACTTCAACCTAACCCGGGGAGGACAGCAGGGGAAGCTTGTGGGTGTTAGAGAAACAGTCGTGAAGTGGTAAGCAATAAACATTCCCAATAAAGATGACATTTAAACACTGCCAGTACTGCACTATAGCCTCTTGAAAAGTGTGAAATTGAGGAAATTTCTGAGGCTTGCATTACCTATCCTATGGGACGTGAGAAAGCGATGAAAGTTTCGTCTTACTCGCTAGAATTCCCACCCTTTTGAGGAAATGATGGCATATGTAAGAGAAATTGAGAATTGTCACACAGATGAATGTGTGGGAAATTCGCTTAAAATGCCTACACTCCCAACCAATTGACCAACCAGTCAATCGGCGATTTTGAAGGGGTGTCGACCTGAACTACCTCTGCAAGTCCCAACGGACTTCATTCGTGAAAGCCATCAAATGACTGTAACAAAAAGTATCTCTGAAAATTTTAAGCGGGCTAATCTATCAGCCGAATCAACCCGTAGAATATGTTGATTACTCGAAGTGTACTTGCTCCACGCGCCCTTAGAAAGTAGCCCCTACGCTAAGGCAAGTCTGAATAAATTCTGCTTTTGTTTGAAGGCTGAAGTAATACCAAAAAAGGCGGGGATTGATCACCGCATCTCATATAATTGACACCGAACGCGCAGAGCGCCTATACTGCTGAAGGGGACTGGAGGCTATCAAGCAATTCCACTTTCGTTGTACTTAAAAAGCGTCCTTGTTCTAGGCGAACGAGTCATTTGAAAACGTCGGCTCGATTCACGATTGGCGGGCTAAGGTGGTATGTGAAATGAAGAGCCTCACAAAGGGCCTCTGATGGGTGGTTTTTTTCGATGATTACTTTCTCATTAGTCCCTTCTGACAACTTTACTCTAATGCGAAAAAGTGGTGACAGTAAGTGTACTTTGTTGATAAAAAAAACGCTTTTCTGTGCTGAATTCAGGACGCTGTTGTGAATGCAACAACACAGATAGGTTATTTTTTATGCCTTATACATAAAAAAACAGATTAACAGCCAAAACATCATACTTAGCTTATAATATGACCAATGGCCTGAGAACACAATAATACACCATAACTAGCAACCAAAAAGAAGCCAAAAAAGTGCATATTCACACCATCGAGAGGTGGCGAGCATCCGGTCTAATGCTATGGATACAATTGATGATCACATTGAAACGCACTTATCACCGAACTATGTATCAAACTACAGGCTCAGCAATTACCACGAGAAAATAGAAAGCTCAAAAAAAGTGGGGGGAAGCGTTTACACGCAGATCACAAGTGATGTTAGCTTTTGAAAGGTTTGCATCAAACATAACATTTAAATAGCAAGAATAAAGTAGAAAGTAAAAACGGAGTTGAAATAACGCACCTCTATCAAATCTAGAGGAAAGCGTTCATGGAAGATCCGATTGATTTCAGCCCCACCGGAGAGCGAGTCAACGCTGATGGCCCCAGAATGACCGTCGATAGCGTTGATAAATCGCTCCGAAAAACTGTTCACCAAGCTAGAAAATACAAAATTTATCCCAAATTAAAAGGTGCACCGCGAATCCCAAACACACTGCCTGCTTTTTTAACAGAGGCGAGTAAGCCACATATTTGACAGTAATCTCATCACTAAAGAGAATTTTTATAATACGTAAGTCTTTTCATTTTCGTTATTATTCCTGGCTACGTGGTATCTGTAAGTCGTGAAATATACTTCACATTGAAACATTACACCAGCTAGTGGTCACAGTTTTCATAAAACAAAGTGCATTCCAAAAAAGGCAAAACTGATCAACCATCACGAAGCACAGAACCATCATCTTAACAGAACACAAAAGTAAACAAGCTGCAATGAATGTGACTAGTGGCAGCGGTGATTCACAGAGGCCAGGACTCCCAAAACTACGTTAGTAGGTCAACAATTTACCGGCGCTGACACAACTACAGAGGGGTCGAATTCAGTAGTAATAAAACAAGCAATGCACGATTACTGTATAAGCGCCTTGGTTTTGTAGGACGGATCATCGGATCGGAGACTCTTGAAGGCTTCTACATCCTTTTCCAGACTGAGCATTTGCGACTGGAGACGGTTGCGCAACGTCGGCAGGGTGTCACGAATATGGTTGGTCAACTGTTGATTCAGTGTGGCCTGCAGATAGGCCGTGCCCATTCGATCCGCCATATGTCGGTAGGCTGGATGACCGAGGAAAAATTTTCGCTCACTCGCTATGGCCGACTGAATATCCTTTCGACCATCAATATCCTTTTGGCTCCGGTTAACGATGCCCACATAGCCTAGGAGGAAGGGGAAGTGCTGATAAAATTAATGAATGCAAACAATGACAAAAAACTAATAGGAATTGATGATGCAATCAAGTAATGCAATACGTGCAAAAAAGGTAGGCAAACAAAGCAAATCACCTCGGCGCAACGGGAGAACCTTATTTTCTAAAACATCTCGAGCATCGGTTCCTGCATCCATCAGATCCAACTTCGTAATAACACCAATCGTTCGAATGCCAGTGGGATCAACTTCCTTGGCAATCTTCAACGCATCAGAATTAGCCAGATCTGTATTGGCAGGTGAAACAGCCAAGATGAGCGTATTTTCAGGTTCTATGAATTCGAGCACCATGGCTCGAATTTGTTGATCGATATCCTGGGGCTGATCTCCCACGGGGACTTTCGTCAGACCAGGCAAATCGATCAAGGTAAGATTAAGAACTAAAAAAGGAGATGCTAAACGCAAAAAAGAGGATTACCTTGAGGTGAATAGATGCGAAGGTTTATCGGAATGTTAGAAATGCCCTTGTTTTTCCCAGTTACACGATCTGTCTCCGCCTCAATCTCCTTGCGAACATCCTCGAAATTGGTGAAATGTTTGTTTTTTAAATGTAAAAACTCGGCGTACTCTACAAAACGGTAAATTTTGGCGGATTAAATCAACCTATGTTGTTGTTGATAAGCTGTAGAATGAGTGGACGCCTGGTAACAATACCAGAACCCCGCGGAAGGAAGTCTCTCCCGACGAAATTTTCCAAAACAGAGCTTTTGCCAGCGCTCTGAGAGCCAACAACGGCAATTTGAGGGAGGTCCAAATTTAAAGGCACACTCAGAGAGGAGAACGCATCTTGCAACTTATTTACAAGAGGGATGAGCATTTGCATCCCACGATTTCCGCTCATTTTCCCTGAAACAGAGGCAAATGGGATAGAGAACGCAAGGAGATTAATCATGCGAAATACTTTAAAGGAAAAATAAAAGAATTTACTGGCACATGTGGTAATTTGGTTACGCTTGCAGAGGAACTAAGGAAAAGCGGGAAATGAGAGGCACAAGACGATCATGGCCTTATGAGCGACGATGTAAATAGAGACTAATACACATTTGAAATAAAGTAAATAACCTTGATGCCAAATGTAAGCATGACCCACCAAGCAAAAGAATACAGTCGTCACAAGCTGCTCCCTGATATTAAATTGGAAGTCAGAGGTATGATGAATTAAACAAAGCAACATTAACGAGTGATTACTTTAGATAGAATATTAAGGGTATTAGTAAACAAAAACAAACCACAAAATTGTGCCACTTTAAGTAATTCTATCATTAATATCCTAATATTTTGTCAAACACAGGCACACTTTATATAAATGGAAAAGTGATTAGAAAATCAAATAATAAAATCCCCAACTTGGCTCTTTTTTTAAAGAAACACTTAACTTAAAATGATTAACATTTAGGTTAAAAAAGCCAAAATACTGGTGCCCTTCGTCTAGTTAAGTACGCGAGTATTTCCCTAACGCTATTGCTTGGAATAATGTTCTTTAAGATTCTGATTCTCAAACTTCAATCATTTTTGGCAATGGAATCAGAAGCTTGGCAACCCGAACACTTCAATCAAGATGGACTTTTGATTTTGAGATTTTGCTCCCTATTTGGGCACCGTTTGGAAAGAGAGCTCCCATCAAAGATTGTAGTAACTCAAACGCTGTAATTTTCTACAGTTGGTAACATTCTAAGCAAGGCTGTAAATGGCTACAGCAACAGTCATTAAATAACATTTGAAAGACACTCTCGACGGCCGGAAAGAGATATTTTGCCCAATAAGATGTTATGTATCTAATGTTCTGCAATTCCTCAGTAAATTGAGTCGCTGTCAGTACGATCAAGTCTGTTGGGGACGCAAATCGATGTTCCTGCATCATGCACTAAATGATTCAGCCGCGTAACATGGAGCCCCAGCATGTTCCTTTGTTCATTTGAATTTAATAGGCATTTTTGGAAGGCAAGAGATGCTTTAGAACATTAATTCTTGCAACACAGCTTTGCAAATTGTGTCTTAGAGGGATTTAACCTCATTTTTGCGAAATAAACCAAAACATTTCTCTCCGAATTTGCTAATTGTTTGGATTAAATACTTCAAATGCGAAAGCGTGTTAAACAAGATCAATCGCATAAAAACCCTCGTAGTTAGCAATTTTATTCTTTTTTAAATTGCTTTTGTGTTCTTTTTAGGTGCTAACGCTAAATTAATAATTGCACTAATGACTTATATAGTCAATAGTGCATAATGGATATCCTGCAATTGACGCGACCAATTACATTCTAGAATAAAACTTTACGTAAGATAAACAAGTTAATATCGCTTTAAGATTGTTTGTGGAATACTTGTTAAAATATCCTGTAAAGAGGATATTTTGTTTAATCAAGCTGTCTTGGTTTACATACTTTCTGTTGTATTGGCTAATCAGCTGACTGATAGATCTTACTTTCGCACCTTTGTGTTTTGAAGTTGCGTAGGTATCCTTCGTTTGTTGTTCCTGTAGGATCGTATTTTATTTTTTGATACCTCTGTGCCTGGTTAGAGCTTGTTCTTCGTTGCGCGTTTTTTTTTCGCAAAGAACTGTCGTTGAATCTGAACATTGGTCGGTTAGCTTGAGCATTTTGCAGCGAACCTATTCAATGTTTGAGTCGAATTCGGTAATCTCATGGCTCCTCAACGCGCCTCTTTGCGCACAGTTGTAAGCAAGCAGAATAAAGGATCGTCTCACAGGCAAGAACCGTTTTTATTTTTTATGTCCTTTTGAAATAGACACCACAGCGCATCAGAACAACGAAAGGCAGGCTTTGATCGTCCTTTTTCCCTTTTTTTATCACTATAATTTTTAATTGCATAATCTATTGTGCTTAATAGCCTTCCACTCGTCTTAATCCACCATCCATCCACTTCAACCGTGAAAAGGTCAAAGCGGGTAATTCTGAGACTGAGCCACCTCGCGAAACCCACTTCATCTTCAAGCAGTTCGAACTCTCAGCTTCTGACCTTTCCAGTGAAAGCTCTCTTATTGAAACTCCACGATCATCTGAGCAGGCTTCCTCCTCCATATCCACTTCCCATCTAACTGACGTCGTTCACTATACAAAGCGAAGGCGTTTACAAACCGAAGTAGACACTTTCGACTCTTATCCTTCCCATCATCGTCACTCTCACTTCACCAGCTGTGCTCCCGGACCTGAAGAGTTTTTTGGCCTTGATCACCAAAAGTACCCTAGGTTTGTTTTCTACTAGATTTTTCCCCATAACTTCATCTTTTCATTCCCTGTAGAGATCACATTTTCCAGAATTTTGAACAGGGTTCTGCACGCTCCAGCCTCGAGACAATACTGCCCACTGAATTTCCCTATCGCGGAAAAACGGGTTCCTGTAACAGCAAAAGGCTGTATGCTTCGACATCCTTTCAAACAGTTGAATGCTTGAATTTAGGCAAAATTCGTCATTTGTATTGCTATTTTAGGCGGGGGAAAGGGTATGTCGGTGGTAGTTCTACGGAGGATATATTCAGTGATCAAAACCAACAGGCAGACGCTGGGCTATTCTCATCGACTGCGCATCAAAAAGACATCGAGATGCCGGCTGATCAAGGTGAACAAACTCAGAAGACCCTCGTAACAAAGGTTTTAATACGTGGGTCACGAGGTCAAGAAGATACCGATGCACCCGGTGGTAGTGGTGGTTCAAGTTGGTTCCGATCATTCACGTGCTTTGCCAACAACGATGAGGATGAACAAGTCGCAATAGATCTTTCTGGTACGGTTACCACAGTTTGAATCGTTATTTGCATTCTTTGAGGTTAATTAGCTTCTAATGGAGATTATGTCGTGATTTATTTTCCCAGATTCTTGTCAATCACCCAGCGTCCGATGTGCATAGCATCCTTTTAATCTGTTTGGTCATGAGAATGTTGTGTGGGGAGAACTTACATGAATTGTTTTGGATTTAAGTATCATGCTGTTATTTTCATTTTACTCATTTTTTCCCAAATGCTCTTGTATTAAAAATATGATCGTGTTTGTGGTTTTAGCAGGTAGAGCCATTGTTCCTTCAGCCTCATCATAGGTGCCAAATAGAATTCACCCTATCTTGGCTGTCGGTCTGTGTTAAGGTTAACAATCATGCTATATTTAGCTTCTGTTTGCGTTCGGCCTAATAATTATTTTATTCATTAAACGCTGAACGATAGAATTGTTACTTTTTGACAGATTTCTTTAAGTTAATTTCTTTCGTTCGTGTGTTGTTATCTAGTTTTAATCATTAGGGTTTGCCGCTATGCATCTAAACAAAGTGGGAACTAAAAGTTAGAAGCTAGAAGCTTCTAAATAATTTTACATCGATCATGCACATGCTCCTTTAAATCTTCATTCGTTGCTGGTGTCGACTTTTTGGAAAAATTTCATTAACACCGGGGCAAGAATTTCAAAGGGGCATGATGAGTTTCGCCTCATCACGAAATGTTTTTTTGTCCCGATTTACATTTGCCGATGTCACCCACTACTGCTCACTCATGCCTCATTTTAAAGATTGTGTTTTGAAAAAAAACCTCTGATTTAACGCGGGATCGTTAGTTGAATGCTTTTTAAGTTCAAGTCATATCAGGTGATATACAAATACCGGCGACCTGCAATTTGTCATGTTTTGCGTGAGCTATGCACAGGTCTTAGCGAAGTTGGTTTTGTGTACATTCCCTATGGCTCAAGCGGGGGAGTGTTGGAAGGTGTGAAGGAGCGGATTCCAGTTTCATCCGATGATAGGGTCTTGATGTTTTGGGCTTTTACCTATTAATTAGGGGCTAGGGATAACCTCTCCTCGTTAAGTTCCGTCTTTAAGGCCCACGATTGTCACGTCACTCAACATCGGAAAAGAGGGTAGTAGATTAAACATCAAAGAATTTCAGTTTTTTCTCGGCCTTGTTTTTGAGCACCTTTCTTTTTTTTTCAAGTAGGCAACATTTGAAATACTGTTGTTAAACAGATGTGAGCAAATTTATTGCTATTTTTAGTATCCTTATGTTTTTGATGAGCTTCGAGGGGTCATATTCTAGGTTAGTAAAAAAGTAGTGCACTGACTTGTCCTGGAGTACTTCGAACATTGCGACCCGACGTTTACACGGTTGAAACGTCTATCTAAGTCTTGTCTAACAGCGCCATAAGCCAGTGGCCGGACATTTAGTACCATTTCTTCTTGCGCTTTTTTTGTCAAATTTGCCTTGAATTCTCATTCATTGTCCTATTTTTTTTTTAACGAAGTGTGCGTGCTGAACTTCCGACCTAGTTCACCAGCAAGGCTGATGTTTATTGCCTGATTGCACTCGACGCCAATCAACTCTAAACATCCCTCGCAGCGCGATGAGAATCAATGTGTTTGTTTTTGAGGCCTTACCATTCCCATTGCCGTGCTTGTTGTCACTTTTTGATGGATGCTTTTTGTTTCTAGCATGCCTTCTTAATTCTTGATTTTTTTGCTGCCACTGAGTTTTCTGGATTTCCTATATCCGTCGCGATAATGCGATAGGGAAACATTCTTATTCAGCACCTGCGAAAATAGATTTGTGAGTGGTAGATTGGTGTTTCTATGATCTCCTCAGGGTGACAATAGTATGGAAAATTTTAAGAATGAGCGGCCTGGAAGAAAAGTAGTCACAAAATGCACCCAAACACGGTGAGAAGCATCAGCAAAACGGGATTGAAACAACGAAATAGAAAGAACTTTTGACAGGTGGCTGTTCTAGCATGCTCTAACCTTTGAATAATGTTATGCATTGCACCGTTTCTTTGTTTTGTGATATAAATGTGCATAATACGACTATATCACTATTTAGCATACATCTCCCATTCCCAGTTCTTGTGTGTGCGAATAATGACATCGCTGGACCACCTGTCATCAACGTTAAGAAATATCTGTTTTATCTTGTTTTTCCGCATAGGTGGCTCAAATCAAGTCAGTAAGACGAATCCGCACGCCTCAGTGTCTACTCCATCTGGGCCCCCAGGCGCTTATCTCCCTGATGGTCTTGTCTTCTCGAATCCCGTTCCATCGGCAGCCCTGCACAATCTTCCGGGCTCCTCCGCATGCAGTGGTGGGATCCTGCGATGCGTCTCCTCCCTTTCTGCCTCAATATCATCGTCAGCTTCGTCTAGACTGCGTCCACATCGCGGTCCGCCGTCGGGTAGACACGACTCAAGTAAAAGAAGTATCCCTGGGCCCAGTGGCGGCAGGTCAGCGGGTCGTGCCTCTCAGACCTCAAGTGGAAATGGTGTCTACATTCAGCATCATCATCACCATCATGCGCAGACATCGACGCAGCAGCAGCAACAACCACAGCATCAACAGCAACAGGGCTCGGGCATTAATTATCGCATTTTACAACTCAAGCTGGCTTTCGGGGATGTGGCCTCGCAGTTGGTTCTGCTGCAGGAGATTAATCAGGTTAGAACTTGCTCCTTCACCTTTTTGTCCGGTACTGATGACGCTAAACCCTCATTGCGATTCTTGAACCTAGTGTGTTGAATCGATTCTAATTTACCTTGTAGCTGTTTAAGAGGCTACAAAAGTACGCTTCTCACCTAGCTTAGAAATGCAACAATACATTGATTTACTTTTTCAGGCCCTTCTTATGGGTTCGGATGAATCACTTGCGGGTCTCGCTGTACATGACCTTGTATCGGCCATTGTGGATCTCTTGGACTCCGAGAAGTCACTGGCTTCTCTACCGGATGAGGAGGTGGTCGAGCTGAAGAACCTCAGTTGTAATATCCTCGCACACCTCATGGACGTGATGCCTAAGGCTGCGGACGCGGTAGTGATGGCCGTGCCTCTCCTTCTCAATACCATGTCTTGTAGCTTCGTTGGTGACATTCTGGAGAGAATTATCAACGTTCTCGAACAGGTTTCTCGACGGAATGGACGACAGGTTTTGCTCTATGGTGGTGTCACTGTGAGTTTTCACTTCCAGATTGTACTTGTTTTGCATTACGTGTGTCTGAAATTAGAAGCGAGCATTGTATAAAAATTGATGAAGTTCATTCTTTTGCCCTATCAAGCTTTTATAAAGACTTTCCAGTTGGATAGGACTATTTTCTAGCTTCGTTGCCTTTAACAGCTTCACGTATTTTTGGAATGATGGGTCACACGCCGGCTTTTTGGGTTTTACCAAAAAAGCTGATCAGTTCCTGCGTTGGTGCTGCCCTACTGTGAAAACTTTTATGGGCAATCAACTATCAGCTGCAACGCGTTTTATTGTAATTTCTTTGCCTCCCTCCCTTCCTGTATGTTCCACATCCCACATTGATTTGCACATGGATCTAATCAGCCTGTTTAAATCCAGCGACACGGAAGCAAATTTTAGAATGTAAAAGGGTAAATTGTGATCATTTCAAATCAATTTCCGAGTGGTTTTGCATTCTGGTTTATCCTTTTTCCCTCCTCTCTTTCACCCACACCTAGACGGTAATGGGCTACTACGATTTCGTGACGGTGGCGCAACATCGAACAATCCTCTCCATGGTAGCGAATTGTTTTGCCGATGTGCGCCGTGACGACTTTTTCACTCACATTGTCGGCTGTTTGCCGAGCCTGTGCGAGCGTCTGGCTTGTGAAGGTCCTGGCTCCTCCACTGAACCACGGTGTGTGGAACGCGTCTGCCTCTGCTTCGCTCGTCTCATTGAGGCCTTTAAAGGCGAGCCAGAGAAGCTGAGAGAAATCGCCTCTTTTGGACTGTGCCAACATCTCAAGCATCTGGTTAGTTAGTTCCCAACCCTCTTTAGCTACCCAACGATGTAGTATAAGAGAGCGGAATGATATTGGAAGGTACGTAAACCACTCATTAAAAATTGTGGCCACAGGACTGAACAGATGGTGGGAATTTTCATCGCCTGTTGTAGTAGTAGCAGCAACTAAAGTTCATACAGCTGTGGCGGTTATCATTGGGTAAGAGTGCATGGCCCTAAAGTACATCAACGCAAACCCTTTTTTCAGCATTCTTGTTTTCATCCGCCAGCGCATCTCAAGTGCGCAAGAATAAAATCTACTTGACTTTCTAGGGAGGCCAGTAAAGCATCATCTTTTATGTGGAGCCTGAGTGATCAACTCGGATTTTCGCATTTCACATGAGTGGTCTCCGTTGTCAGTTTTTCGCTCTTTTTAATTGGCATTCTCAAGGTGGCCTCGGCAACCCAATTTATTGTAGCCTTGTGGAGATATCGAATGGGGGGGACGTACTGGCACAGGAGCTAGCTTGGCAACGTTCCAACATCCTTGTTTTTCAGTTTTGAGGCCTAGAGTGATGGTTGATTCTTTAGGCCAATTTTCTTCCCCTAGATGATTGCCTCGCCTCCCATCGTTTCCAACATGAAGGACATTGCCTACATGCTTGCAACGCTGTGCACATACTGCCCTGACCTGGCTGTTGATATTCTAACAATGGGTACGTAAAAGACATTTGTGGACTAATTGCATTCTATGCGTCCAGTGCGAAACACCTAGTACATATACACCCTTAAGGGTCCTCTTTGAGGCTTGAAGTTTTAATTCATTTTCCACTTCACACCTACCGGTGCCTACAACTATTACCGTCGCGCTATGTATACATTCTCAGCCATGGCAACCGTCGTTAGGGTCCATAACAGTCCGAAACAGTCACAGCGTGCAAATTTTTGACTTAACAGTTTGGTCTACAAGCTAAATGACCTGCGCTGATTCTTCTTCGGTTAATGAAGATGCCCTTGAGAATAATTGTTTGAGTTTAGTTGGCAACATTCACTTTTGTAAGTAGGAATCAGATGGATTAAGTCTGCACATCACCGTTTTGTCAGAAGAAAAAAAAGATTTGAAATCGCTTATTTTACGCTCACGTATCCAAGTTTTACTTGGATATCAAGGTCTTGAGTTTAATACGCCCAACTTTGAGCATAACCGAACGGTCCCCCACGGTCTTAGAGGCGAATCGACCACTACGGTCTGTGTTTTTTCTAACATGGCATCAGTCGTCGGGGCTTGCGACTCATACAAGAATCGGACATCAGGTGTGCGTGTGCAGCTGAGGTCAGGCCTGTCAAATGCTGGAGTTTGTGAGTAATTTTTACACGGTTGACCCCGTTATTACTCATTTCTCTATTCATGAACACTGATTTGAGAGGAGGGCGTCACCGCGATTGCATTTCTATCATACCCACACGGCTCTTTATGACATTAAAACGTGCTGGTATTGTCGTGGCGTTGCGTCTTGACATGTGGTGATTTTCATGATGACCTAAACTTTGACTCATTATTGCTATTGATATGCTTTTATTTCACCTTTGTAGGCTATGCGGAGACTATCTACACTTTACTGACAGATCAAAAGCCCCACGAAATGACTTTCCACTTACCAGGTCCAAAAACCCATATGACTGGACCAAGGTGTACCTCGAGTCGAACGAATATTGCTCGATGCCTGGAGAATCGTGGAGTCGAGAATGTCTATGCCATAATTCACCTCATAAGGTAAGACTTGCCACTTGCCACCTCGAATGGTCACTTTCTTTGCGCACGCTAATAAAAGGAACCGGGTTTATAAACACGTTGGTATTCAGGATGTCCGAGGCGAGTGGACCACCACCACAGCGTAACTGTTTTCTTAGAACAATGAAACTCCAACTGTCATTCATTTTTCCCCATCTCAAGTGTGATTTACCTCGTACCAAGAGCATTCGACATCTGTTTTATCATTTTAAGCCAAATCTGTGTCAGTGGCTGAGGTTTTAATGTATTTATGTATATTGCAAGGTGGTGAATCTCAAGTGTCAAGACTTTGTGCCGCTGGACCTGCACAAGGGCGTCGGAGCCTTGCACATATATTTGTTACTGCGTAACCGGCTGCATCTTTACTACTTACCAACCTCTCTCCCATTGAATAAGTGTTTCATTCTCAAGTCAGCGTAGATTATGGCGTCTTGGGCGTTCGGTCTGCGTGCCTGCATGTGTCTATAAGGGCAGAAGGGCCAATACACGTTGAGGTATGCGTGTGTGTATGTGTGCATGCGCTCGCATGTGGACATACACACAGGGTGGTATGTTGCGTTGGTTTGCTTCAACGTTGTTTATTTATGGGTAGATAAATAGTTAAAATAAGCGCGTTCTGCCTCATGATTTAGCAAGTAATTTGAATGAGGGGGACTGAATTTACGCAACTTCTCCCTCTCTCACACACACAGACTTCACTTCACTGGGACTCCGTTGTCTTACGCTGGATTTGGTATTTTTTCAGAAAACGGAGGTTTTTTTCTCGTGAAAAGTCTTAACGTGATTACGGTTGAATGTAAAGTCAGTCTCTGTAATGCCGAACTCACTTGGCAGCTGTCCAAAGCTGCCTTGCTTCTCAGACCAGGGAAATGCTGCATCTCCTTCATTTTCTTGATCTCAACAGGCCAGTTTGTGTCAATTCGGTGCAATCAGTTATCATAAACTGATGTAGCAGAAGTGCTGAATATGTATTATTGGGATGGTTTTCGAAACTATTCCATCCGTTAGCGCACATTTTTATGCATCTGAATTGCAGCTGAGGGATAATGTGGGGGTAATTCTAAGGCTCTCAGTTTTACTTTTTTCTCGCCTTAATAAGCCCCTGAAAGATGGTACGGTTGAGATGGTCTTCTCAAATACTCACCCACATTCTCGTCATCCTCAGTCGTTTGTACGAATTTCGTGTACTGCCATTTTACCTGACTCCATTTTTTCTCATTCCCTCCAAAGCGCGATGCTTCCTCCTATTCAAGACAATGGTGTCATCCTCTGCCCGCCAAATATCTTCACCTCACGTGTGAGTTTCTTATCCACATCTCTTTACTGTTTTAATTACACTTGTTAGATATGCCTTCGTCTGTCTTAACAACAGTTTTTTGGCTTCTCATTTGCTAAAAAGTACGAGTTTTCGGTGAACTAGAGTCAGTTTGAGTGGACTTTGTTCTGGCTACACATCTGCTGTCAATCCCGTAATATACCTTGTTCAGTAGTAGACACTACTCGTCATACATTCTTTCACACCACTTCCATTCCACATTGCCTTCTTAGATAGACCAATGTGTTAATTCCCCTCCAAAGTACTCATGTCTGAATAATTATTCGTCTTCTTCTTGACCTTCAGATGCTGGCTGATTAATATCATGTCCCTTTCCATACTCATAACGAAGAAAATGGAGTTTGTGCTTACTGTGCTCCATTTGCATATTTTCCTATAGTAAGGTTGAATGAGAATCTGCTTTGGGTAGCAACTTGAGTGTACCCACTTACTTCGAAACCGCAAACGTGCTTTGCTGCTGCCGCGATTGCGCTCCTAATGATATGCATTTCATGCATCCCCTTGCTAGGGTCCAAATACCTGCTAGCTCTCTCCCTTATCTCATAGCTGCCTTAGGCGGGGACAAAATTAGCTGTCTCGTTTCGTGTTTTGGGCATGATCAAGACCATGATGTAACATTTTTTTCATTTAGACGTCAACAAGCACTGCCAAAACAACCGACGTACGAACAGTGCTGTTTCAACAGCAGTGCAAAGCCTTTGAGGATATTGTGAGCCGTGGGAAGAGGAAAACCATCGTGGATGATAGTGAAAAGACTCGAGGAGATGCTGATGCTAATGCCGGCTCTAGCAAATCTAATAACTTGGTATTAGTAAGAACGGTTCATCTGCTTCTTCCCATGCTTCTTGATCTCTACACCGAGCTGAATAGTACTGCCCCAAGAATGGAATGTATTGAAGCCATTCGGAGGTAGGCAAAGCTCTCGGTTTTTAACACTTCATAAGCGTCCTCTATATCAGGGTTTTTCTCTCCCATTAGAATTGTTTACAATGCCAGTCCTTTTGTGCTCTCCTGGATGGTGTCGCCTCGTTCAATGTCTGCCATGGTCGCCGACATGCTTGGCAGCCCTGAGTTTGCCTTGATTGCGGCCGGTCTGCAACTTGCCAACCTCTTTATCACACGCATCCCTCAAGTCTTCGCTATTTACTTCCGCAAAGAGGGCGTTCTTTTTCACCTCCAGCGACTTTCCTCTCTGGCCTCGGAGAATAATAAGAAGGAGGACGGTTCTGGCGCTGAGGAATCTGAAGTGAATTATTTTTTTGCCCGCTTAGTTTTAAAATGCTTTAGCCTTGCTTGTGTCCTAACGTCTAAGTCTCCACTTTTTAGACACCGGCCTCCTCTGAGGCGAATAAGCAAGTACTCTTTACGCCTTTGATGGCTACACTCCAAGCCAGTCCCACCGTTTCTTCGGCTTCATTAGCACCTCCTCAACACCCAAGGTCATCGTCCCATTGGATTTCAGGGGTTTCACCAACACTCTCCTCTGCTGTGGCTGATCAATCTGCGTCTTCACGTCTTCGATTGCGATCTCAGAGTACGCCTGCATGGTGTTACCTTTTATGGCTAAAAATTATGCTAGAGAGGCATGTCGATGCAAATGAAAGGCGCCGAAAATAAGTGAACAGAGTTTTGACAAATAGCTTTCCAAGTATTTGCTTTTTCCATTGATTTTGTATACGGCAATCGTCTAGGATAGTTCATTCTACCTATAGATGGAGATTCGTTGGTTTTGTTCTCTGAAAATCTTAACAGTTGGAACGAAATTATATGATGTGATTGTCGTAGAAATTTGTCAAGATCGCCAAGGCAAGTTCTTGACATGCAAAATGCGTTTTTATTTTACAGCTGAAGGATTATGCCGCTGTAGAGACAGTCTGGCGAAAAATAGACTGTCAATTTAAAATAACCATTGTCGTTCGTCGTTTAAGCGCCGAGTCTTGGTCATATTTTAGCTCCACCTCTCGAGGTCAGGTCACTCGATTAGTCGTCTCTCCCTTCCTCTGGCCTTGTGAACAAATCAATGCGGTCTAAAGTTCGGTATTTAATAGTAGCCTTGTGTGATGCGGAACCATTCAACCGGTTTATAATAGTGGTCATACTCCACTCTGTTTAATGTCCATTCGCCTGGTATTTTCACTTCAGGAAACAGTCATCGATCGACGATGGAAGGCTCATCATGTCCTAAACCACCACATTTTATTTTCGTCCCTGGCTTCCCAGGTCCCAATATATGTGATATGAATGTCTTAGAGCCCTTGGCACAGGCGACTCCAGAATCATCCATTTCTTCGTCGTCTTCCTCATCTTCCACACTCGATATAGACCTGAATGCAGAGGCCGCTCAAGCTTCTCCCAGGTTTGCTTTAATCTCTGCATTATTTGAGTTCCCTTCTAATCAATGCTTTGAGTTTACCTGATTTCCAATTTTTTGTTTAGTGCAACTGCTACCTCTGATGTTGCTGGTAGTTGCCACGACAGTAATCTCCGCGCCTGGATTACGGGTCAGTGCCAAGATCTTTACGATCGCATCCAAGTGCTCGTAGGGAATCCACCGAGGCCCGACACCCTGGCGTCGAAGGCGTTGGCTGGGTCGGGATCCGGAGCGGTGGGAAACAGGAAGGCGACGCGTCGACACTCTTCCTCTTCCCCCACCCTGCAGACCCCACAGGGAGTGATTCCGCGTGACCTCGTACCCGAGTTGGAGGCGCTGAGTCATCAACTGATGGCCGCCGACGAGCCGGCTGCATGGGTCACCGGTCTAACACGTCTCGCCAACCTGCTGACTCAAACCATCCTCTCCGAGGATGAGGCTCCGTCTCCGTTCGAGGTTCAACAAAGTGGTCTGCTGGACTCTCTTCACGTCTTTCTAACGCAACCCACAGAGAGGAAATTAAGACTCTTCTTGCTACTGAGGGTGAATGTTTAAAAATATTGTGCACCGACACACTGCAGCTGTAACAGAGGTTGGCTAATAGACATGAAGATTAATATGTCCCTTAGTGCACAATTTCCATAGTCACGTCGTCATTGACGGACAAAGTGTCCAATCTTGTTTTTCATTGTTCACTAATTGCTAAATGTAAGTTACGGTACTTACTGGGTGTTTTCGCCTCAATTTTAGCTCTTCGTGGGACCGCAGTATACCGAAAACATAAATTTAAAGAAAATTGTCGAAAAACCTAAGATTTTGGCCCAGGCTAAAAGCGCGCTGCAGTCCCTGAAACACCAGAACAACGAGCGGTCGGTGTATGAACTCGCCTTCCCAATGCTCATCACCTGCCTCCTTGACTGTCTTCACCAACAGGTGGCGTTAAAGTTGGGACTCTTTCCGGCCGATTTTTCTACCCTTTGGTTGCCAAAATATTAATGAAATACGAGAAGAGTCAGCTTTATACTCAAATCACTTGGCTACCGAGTCTACCAACTGGAATCGTTCGGATTAACTTTCAAAAATAATCCTCTCATCATACCCGTGAAACATTGCCGTACTTTTAAACCGAGCAGGGCTGATTGCACTTGTAATGCTTTGTTCGCTATTAACATTTCAGGAGCACTTTCAAGTTGTGACTGGTCCCACCTCCCTGGCCAATGCAGAGGCTTGTGCAGAAGAAGCACTGGTGTTGGTGGATCAGGGCAGCGGCGAAAGTAATGACTCCCAGGTCGAAACGCGACATAGACGTAGCGGCGCAATGTCTAATCGAAGGGTAGGTAGTGGAGGGGAAGGAGGCGGCCCTTCACACTCCCCCTGTGATCAACCGCCACTCCGTCCATTACCCCGTCGTTGGGCTACTTTGATGCCGGGTTTTCTCAAACTGGAACTGGTTCGACAAGTGGACGAGCCCCCCAGTACTGCTATCACCACCGCCACCTCCTCGTCCTTGTCAAGGAAAACGGCGGCAGAGGGCGAGGCCTCAGGAAAAGGCACCTTCTGGGAGAACGCCCCTACCACTCTACCTATTCACGCTAATGCGCTCATCACAATTTCGGTATGGCTGCTTGTTAATTTTACCCGTCACTTGAGGCTCTCGCATATCCACTCTCTTTAAACACTCAGTATTGTTTGTAATATTTATCCGGTAGCCTCGTTTTTGGCTCTACACAACGGCTAAGGAGCTGGGCCTGTCGGTCGTCAGGCTTCTGATGCGCAAAATTCAAAATATCGAAACAGTCAGTTTGTCTTTAGCAAGCAACGAGGCCGTCTAGTCGTCGGATGAATGTGGTATTGCGTGTGCAGCGGGTCTTCACCCATAACTAACTGTAGATATACTCTTCTCAGGGAAGGATCTTTTCTTACTAATTTATTAGCTAGCAAAAATGCCACACTAATAGCCACGATTAACTTTGAAGTGTCTTACTAATAGCAGTAGTAATCACAAATCAGCGTTATCTAATCAAGCATGAATGTGTTACATCTAATGCCTTTGTAGAACCTTCAGCGTCTATTAATACAGCGAAGTTTCATCACTTCAATAATGTGTGGACCCGAGGATCATCGCGATATTCGATCCATAGGCGAAGAGAATGTTGGTTTACCCTTCACACACCCCACTTCTCAACATATTCCCCATCGACGACGATTCTACCGTCGTCACGAGCTGCCTGCATCACCTATTGAGGACCCGACCTCATCAAAGACGCGCTCTGTTCACTACTCCTCCGCATTTGACAATTCACGGCATGAAAAGGCTCCTGCTCACTTATCTCCTAGCTCTCAGCCCCATGAGGCACTTAATCTAAGTCTCGACCATGATGCTGACGCTGACAAGGCGTCTACTTCAAAGTCTAGAGAAGTATGTTTTCTTTAGTGGAGCATTTATCACCGATCTTGCATTCATAACTATTCCATTCCCTTAACCTTGCAGGCTTCGCGTCCCAAAAGCATGTCCCTTCTGGCGGCTTTCGGAATGCTCCAGTTCGCTGGCTCCTCCACATCACCCCCTTCTTCAATGGCAGCAGCAGCAGCCCCCGCGTTCTCCTCTCGGCCCCCTGTTCTCCCAGAGACAGTCTCTAACGTGCTGCATTCCCATGGCCGGCCCGGTGTAAGGAAGGACTACTCCCACTCGCAACAGACGCACCCACATCAGCACCACCCCACATCAAATCGTCATCAACGCCAGCACCAGCATCAACACCATCCATCAGCTCATCCCGCCCTTGCTGCCTCCTGTGTGGTGGGTGACCTCTTTGAGAACGCTACGCTTGGTGGTGGAGGTATGCACGCTGTGGTGCCAGTGATTTACGTCGGCGGAACGCGTGTTCCAGACCGAATGCCGCTTTATCAGGCCATTCGTGCGTTCTCCATGGATGTCATTGAGCAGAGTCGCCAACTTTTGGCTGATCATCGGTTCTCGATGACTGAGCAAAACCGGGAAGACAGGGTATGGTATTCTTGATGTAATGATAAATGGTAAAACCTTAAGTCATTTGCGACATGACGCTGTTCCGTATGCCACAAGTAAACACACACCTTGAGCTCATTATACATTCCATGGAATGAACGACGGTCATTAGAAATTATCCGAATTTATCAACTAGAGCGGGCGTTAACACAACAGCACTGACATATTTAAGGCTGATGTACCAAAATAATTAATGCGGCCTTTTTGATCACCAGTGTGAGGAGACGGTCGTCATTTTACCTCATTGCGTTTTATCTGGTCCATTTCTGTCCTCCTCTTAGATAAATGCTTTCATGTGGCGTCATATTCACACGGTTCACTACCGTTTGGAGAAGACTACTGTTTCCGCCGTATCCTCATCATCAACCACCTCTTTTGCTGACTCTCCAACGGCTCTATTGTCTCCTGCCTCTCTCTTCCTGAGGGGTGTGACTTCAGGCATTTCAGGGGGCATTTTGGCTCCTTCCTCGGCCTCTGCACCCAGTACCCCCACAGCTAACTTCAATTCAAGTACCACCACCATCACCGCAAGCAGCACAAACACCAAGCACTCACCCACCTCGTCTCTCTCTGCAGCAATAAGCTGTTTGAAGCGACCACGACGTCTCGACGAGATGTCCAATCTGCCGACTCAGTCAACGGGCAAATCACCGTCCTCACGACTTCTGACTTTCCTGGAGCCGTTTACAGATTTCTACGCCATTTCTAACGGCTACATGGCTCCCACTTTGTTTCTGCTTCGAGCTCTTTATGGGCTGTGCGAGGTCGGAAATACCTTAGACGACTTGATCGAACCTTTCCCCATCATTCCTGCGGTATGCCCTTTACCACGCACTTTCACTCTCAGTTCGTTCAATTTTCATCCATACACATGTCTTCCTTTACAGGATCATTTCCAAAGTCCAAAACTCTCTGCCAAGGCATCACGTCAGCTGCAGGATGTATTCTGTGTGCTTGCAGGCAATTTGCCCAGTTGGTTGGTGCAAATCATCACCACATGTCCCTTCCTCTTCCCCTTCTCTGTTCGACAGAACTTCTTCTATGTTCACAACTTTGACCGGGACCGAACTATTCTTCATCTGCAAGTGAGTACTTTTTTTTCTTCAGCCAGTGTGTCAAGTGTATCTAGTGCCATCTTAGTCGAATCATTCCTTCCTCTTCACTAGGATTCCATCCTAAACGGATCCATGGATAATGAAACGCCAGGTGGTGGCAACGGTAGTGGTGGTGGTGGTGGCGGCGGCGTAAATGCAGGAATAGGCGGCGTCGGTCACTCCTCATCTCCCCTACCACGCCTCCCTCATTATTACCATTCCTACGGCGCTTTTCGTCTTGGTGGCTTTGATGGTGGTGCCAATTCTGCCACTGCCATCCTCGAAAGCCTCCTCATGGAGTCGGTTTCTCAAGTTCAACGGTACAAGGTGGGATTCAGTGCAAAATTACTTTGTGTACATATGTAGTCCCGATTTGTTGATAATCCGCCAATTTCGCTTGACAGATAACAGTTCATCGTGATCCCAAGCGTCTACTCCGTGCTGCGGAGTCGGCATTGAATGAGCTCCGCGATTCGCGTTCCATTCTCGAGATTGCCTTTGAGGGGGAAGTAGGTTTTGGTCTTGGACCAACTCTGGAGTTCTACACGCTGGTGAGTCACCAGCTCATGACTGCTAGTCTAAATCTTTGGCATGGACACAACTACACCGATGAGGGCTACATAATTGCACCCGCTCCTGGACTCTATCCCAGACCCTTGGCCAAAAATTTGCGTTCTTCACAGTCAAGAGAAGTGAGTCATTATAGGCATATTGTCCGGTGCGATTTGTAAACACAGGTAAAGCATCTTGTTATGGGTTTATAGGTGCGTGCGAAATTTTTCTTCCTCGGCCAATTGATGGCGCGTTCGTTGCTAGACTGGCGACAGTTAGATCTCTCCTTGTCGCCGACCCTGTTCAAGTGGTTCCTCTACACCCAATCACCGGAGGAGGACTTGGTTCTCTGCAGTCCTCGTGTGGGTGTCACTGCAGCTGACCTGGCGTTAGTGGATCCCCCCTTCGCAAAACACTTCCAAAGCCTCTTAAAAATGAGTCGACGAAGGCAGGAGCTCCTAGAAGGCAGTAAAACTGCTGTGATGGCTGCTGAGGAGGAGGTTCGAGCTATCGACACGGAAATTGATGATCTCTATCTCTCGTTTGTACTTCCTGGCTATCAGGTTAACACTCACTTTCTTATCACTTCATTTGTGTTCCAGAATTCGTTGTCAATATAGTCATTGTGCTTTGATGTAGATCGAGCTGTGCCGAGGTGGGTTGCAAATAGCGGTTACTGGGAGCAATCTGGCCGAGTATCTCTACCTCTGTGCTAACTGGTTCCTCGTGGAGGGGGCTCGACGCCAGGTCATCGCACTCATTGAAGGCTTCGACTCCGTATTGCCGGGCATTCGAACTGGCAAGTTGGCCACCCTCTTCCGCCCGGACGAGTGTGAGGGCCTTTTTTGCGGCTCAGGTGGTTTCGGGGGTCTGTATCGCGATCAGTTGGCTTTGCTACGCACCTCTTCCCTCGTTTCTTCGATGCCGTCGTTTGTTACGGCCACGAAGTCCGCCTCTCCTTCATCTTCAGCGGTGGCTGCGGGCTGGGATGTCGACACACTCATGAAATCCTGTCTCTGTGATCACGGCTACACCCTGCAGTCGAAGGCTATTCAATACCTCTTTGAGATTATGTCAGAATTTGATGAGCCGCGCCGACGCCTCTTCATTCAGTTCGCCACTGGCAGTCCACGTCTCCCCATCGGAGGTGAGATTATTGCTGTGTGTCTGGATATTGTTTCCTCGTGTGGTTGCTTATTTCTTCTTGCTTATGTTGGCAGGATTTCGTGCATTGAAGCCACCATTGAAGATAGTAATGAAGCGGGAAGCCGAGGAGCGCGCTGATCAGCATTTGCCCTCAGTGATGACATGCCAGAATTATCTGAAGTTGCCGAACTACTCAACGAAGGACATTATGCGAGAGAAGTTGCTCTATGCCATCTACGAGGGCCAGCACGCTTTTCATCTCTCCTAGTTCATTGTAACTCTGCCTGTCGGCTTTTCTGGTGATTTTTGTGTGCTTGTTTCTAAGCCTCCCCCCCCCTCCCAGCATCCCATTTCCACTCCAATTCCTCATATCCCTCCCTCCCTTCCTACTCGTAAAGTGATTTCATCCTAATTCTCACCCCCACCCGTCCTCCACCCTCCTGTTCTGAACGGAGTAATAGACAAATATACACGTATAATTACTGTATATTTTATTGCTGTCGCTTTCCGTCGTTTGTTTTTTTCCTTTTCGGAAAATAAAATTTTAAACGCAATGGTAATTTCTGCCGGTTTTTTTTTTTTTTTTGTTGGTCAAAACACCAGTGTCTTGGGGTGTCTGTTCATCCTGTTTCTCCCACCAAATTCGACTTGAGTGCGAAAATAAACGAGGCACTTTTTTGTTCGATTGGATGTAGCACTTTGAGACTTTCCTGAAGATGAGAGAGGTTATAATATCCGGGGCAGAAAACGTAT